CACGCACCCACGCACCCACGCACCCACGCACCCACGCACCCACGCACGCACGCACGCACGCACGCACTCTCTGAACTAACTAGCCGACGATCACGCTATTTCGACGATTTCTGCAGCACATGTGACATGGTACAGAGTGAGGAACTTTATTGTGAGACGTCTTTCAGTGCGTCAGGGACACTTTCGTGACTGCGTATGTTGGTATGCATCCATGCATGCGATTGCGCTTGTGTCCGTAGTGATTCGTGGATGACCTTCCGGAATGCAGTTCGCCCGATGAGAGACGCCATGCCCCTCCACCATGTTTTTTTACGATGCGCGGCGTCATGGTCTGCAGCAGCTAGGATTGTGTTGGCTTGCAGTTGTGGTCCTTTCTACTGGGTTGCATCTGTGTACTGTTCAACGATGTTGAACTTGTGGTTGGGATCCGGGTCCCGTTTTGGCGAACACAGGTCCTGCTCGTAACACGAGGAAGCAGCAACTTGCTTCGCCACTTCCACCTTAAGTGCGCAGGTGCCTGCCTCCGAAGCTGCCACGCAAGTTCCCGTGGCCTTGCTGTGGGTCGGAGCCCCGGCTTGGCCCAGGCAGTGTGCAGCAAATGATTTCCTCGACAATTGGCTGGGTGCCTCACCACAGCTTGTCGCATGGCCGAGTGCCACCAGTGACATGCTTGCCTGGAGCTACAAGTAGCAGGCGATACTAAACAGCGTGTGACGTTTCGGTGCGACTTTCAGGCCACGAAAACTGCTGCGACACAACAGCATACATTGTGCTTGCCCTGATGTAGAATCCCATGGCAGCTGCTATTGACGGCGGTGTTCAGGGCTTCAAACTGTTAGGGCCCTTCACATTGGATGTTGTGGCCTTTCAAAAAGTAATTATAAGACTGGATAACCTCTCATGAGTGTGCCTTCTTATGCTAGTCAAGTTCAGGTCTAGATGTGTGTGTATATATGGGCTGCGTAGTATCCCCCCGCTGCATTTCTGCGCTACTGTACTATTATGGAACCAGCAATTGGTTTTTGAAACCCATCGAAAGCTCAAACCCTTGACATCCTTGAATCTGGAGCACAGCATATAAGCAATCGCGAATTCACATGGTTTTGAGTCCAACTCGAAGCCAACACAACATTTGCAGCATCTAAATCTCTATGGATGATTTTTGGATGTTTCTCACCCTGTTCATTCCAGTGCGTACCATCCCCCTACAAGTGCTACGATTCCGTTTCGTTCCTCACCAGCTCTGCAAAACTAGTTTGACGGGAAGTTGCAACAACCTGTGCTTTCAGAATGCTGAAACCCGAACAACGCTAAGAATTCTGTGACACCCTCGTCGAAACCCTGTTACAATGTGCTAAAATCCTTGAATTGAAGCCGTCGATACATCGTCGTATTTCATCTTTGGGTGACTGTCTACAAACGTGCTTGAGTCATTAGTCTGGTTCAGTCATTCCTTATAGCGAACTAGATTTTGGAACAAAAAGTTTTCCATCTTTGTACTGTAATGCCGCAATCCCATTAAAGTTTATGTTTTTGGACGCATTGCTTTGACGTTTTGGCAAACTTATAGCTTTCGATAACATATCCCTGTGCCCCTATGTGATTGCTTTTAAGCACTGGTACATCCGGTAGGTATGTTTGAGTGTTGCATTCCTTAATTCTGTATGATGGCTGCCCCAAGCCACAATTGAAAACTTGCATACTACAAGCTTAGCAAACGTTGTATAGTGTTTTCCTGGGGGGGGGTTCTTTTTGGTTATTTTTTATGGTTTTTTTTTGTATTTTTTACGGTTTTCGGTTCGGCGGACGCAGGACTCAGTCAGTCAGTCAACGAGCCAACCGAGCGGTCAGTCAGTCAGTCAGTCAGTCGGTCAATCAGAAAACCGAGCGGTCAGTCAGTCAGTCGGTCAGCCAACCGCGCGGTCAGTCAGTCAGCCAGCCAGCCAGTCACTCAGCCAGTCAGTTCGTCTGCCAACCGCGCGGTCAGTCAGTCAGCCAGTCAGTCAGTCAGCCAGTCAGTCCGTCTGCCAACCGCGCGGTCAGTCAGTCAGTCAGTCGGTCGTCCAGCGGTGAGTCGGTCAGCCAGTCAGTCCGTCTGCCAACCGAGCCGTCAATCAGTCTGGCTGTCTGTCAATCAGTCTGTCAGTTCGTCAATCCTCTAGTCAGTCAGGCTGTTGATCTGGCGTTGCACCTGCAACCAGAGAGGGGGCGCGTTTAAGATATATGATGAACCGGAACCGCTGAATTCAGGGGGCGTGTTTAAGATAGATGACGAGCCGTTATCACCAAAAGAGGGGGCATGTTAAAGACATATGTTGAAACGGAGCCGCCAAAAGAGGGGGCGTGTTCAAGATGCTTGGTGAACGCTTATCGCCGAATGCGGGTGCGTGTTAAAGATATCTGGTGAACCGGAATCGCCGAATGAGGGAGCGTGTTGAAGACATGATGAGTCGTTATCACCAAAAGAGGGGCCGTGTTTAAGATATATGGTGAACGGTCATCGCCGACTGAGGGGCCGTATTAAAGATATATGGGGAACCGGAAAGGGGTGTGTCTAAGAATTTTTGCATAATCTATGGTGATCCGGAATCGACAAATGAGGGCGCTTGCTTAAGATGTGATGAACCGCCGGTCCTCTTGCAAGATCTTGCAAGTGCGTTTGCAAATGGGGGGGGCTGCGCCGCCCCCCAGACCCCCCCCCCGCTTTCTCAAGCCGTGTTTTTCTTTAGCGAACTTCGTACTCAAGAACGCTATGGCCATTTGCGATGGTCGCAGCAAGTCAAGCGCATAACTATTCTGAGACTTTTCAAATCCCGTCCCAGGGGCCCAACCCCCCTCGCTTTATGTTTGGGCCATGCAAGCTAAGATATATGGTGAACGGTTTTCGCCGAATGAGGGAGTGTTAAAGACGTATATGGTGAAGCGAAATTGCCAAATAAGGGGTGTGCTTCATATATATATATATATATATATATATATATATATATATGGTGAACCGGAATCGCCAAATGAGCGGGGTTGCTTAACACGTATCATCAACCGTTATCGCCAAATGAGGGGGCGCGTTTATCATGTATGTTGAACCGTTATCGCCAATTAAGGGTGGTGTGTTTAAGCTATAGGCTGACCCGGAGTTACCAAATAAGGGGGGGTGCTTACCGCTTGCAAGTGCGTTTGCAAATGGGGGGGGGGCTGCGCACGCCCCCAACCCCCCCGCTTTCTTCAGCTCCGTAGTGAACTTGCTGTAGCGAACGTCGTGCCATCAAGAACGCTTTCTGGCCATCATTGGCTATTGGTCGTAGCAAGTCAAGCGCTTAACACATATGAGACGTTTCACAGCCCGTCCTCGGGGCCCAACCCCCTCCTCCTGCTTTATGTTTGGGCCGCGGTGAATGGTTTTCGCCGAATGAGGGGGTCTTGTTATCGCCGAATGCGGGCGCGTGTTAAAGATGTCTGGTGAACCGGAATCGCCGAATGAGGGAGCGTGTTGAAGACATGATGAGCCGTAATCACCAAAAGAGGGGCCGTGTTTAAGATATATGGTGAACGGTCATCGCCGACTGAGGGGCCGTATTAAAGATATATGGTGAACCGGAAAGGGGTGTGTCTAATATTTTTTTGCATAATCTATGGTGAACCGGAATCGACAAATGAGGGCGCTTGCTTAAGATGTGATGAACCGCCGGTCCTCTTGCAAGATCTTGCAAGTGCGTTTGCAAATGGGGGGGGGGCTGCGCCGCCCCCCAGACCCCCCCCGCTTTCTCAAACCGTGTTTTTCGTTAGCGAACTTCGTACCATCTTTTCAAATCCCGTCCCAGGGGCCCAACCCCCGTCGCTTTATGTTTGGGCCACGCAAGCTAAGATATATGGTGAACGGTTTTCGCCGAATGAGGGAGTGTTAAAGACGTATATCAGAGAGCAACTTAAGCAGGGATACGCGTATGGCCGGGATAGGGCGTATGTTTTGGGCCGTTTTACATGATCATCAAAAATTGCACATTCGTGAGTTTAAACCCCCACCTTTGAGATCATGACAGTTGAGTGTGGTTTACTTGTCGGTGGTGTTTGTGCGTATTCAAGTCTGAAGCTTCTAAGCTACGCGAAAAAGCAAGCACATTAAGCAAACACCCGCTTGGACAGCGGTTTGATGTTAATGGATTTGTGTGGAAAATAGTAGTATGAATTTGTGGATTGGATAACAGGCCGAAAATAAGCACAGAATTTGACTACCAGATGTTGCCTGGGGTGTATTTCTTCAGCTGTTTTGAGAGGCCACCCGCAGTTCAACCCGATGAGACTTACCCGTTGTGCATCCCCCGTCGTTCTGCAACGGTGGACATTATCTGCATCGCCGATGCCACGCTCTTCGCTGGACTAGGTGCCTTCCGCCCTCCAACTTGCTCTGCTCATGACATGATTGTTGCTGATGTGACGTGTGTGCATGCGAGCATGGTTGAAGCTGTTTGATGAGCATCGGTTCTTCGATTGCCACATGTTGGACCAGACTCAGAACCTAGTTCTAGAGCATGAGCACAGCTTCTATTACCCTCAGTCACAGCAACACTGCAGACGACTTGCAGGGGCACTGTCACTCGGACAGACGTCTTTCACGCAGCATATATACTGGACCTTAACACGTATAGCATGCGCATCAAGATGTCAATAAGAACATGTAGCGTCCCTGTCGAGGTCCTAGGGAAGTGTGTACACTACTTAGTTCCCCTCAGGTCTCTTACACATTATCCTCGCCGTTCCTTAGTACATTTTTCGCAGCCATGGCTTTTTCCGATGCGAGGCCAACTCCCTTCGCTCCCAATTCGACTTTGCAGCCTTGCCCGACGGGCAACATGGGGAGCTACTCGGGGGAAGTTCGCGTCTCGACGGACGCGAGGTTTTGCCTGTCGGCTCCGACAAGCAGTGCCCGAAGCCGTACTCCTGTTTCTTGTCTGATATATCAGATAGTACAGTGACGCGATGTGTGCACTTCTGACTGCACGATGTGTGTTTCTACGCAGGCCCGGCCAGCACGAATTCTCACACGTTGGGCAGCAATGGCGTCGTCGGCCAGGCACCTCACAAAAATATCGACGAGAAGACATACATGTGTTGGGACATCGACTTTCGAGGGCTGGGCCTGACGGACATGGAGAAAAACACCACTTGCCCACGAGGTACCACAATTGCAATCCAGTGTCGTTGCACCGATGCAGCGCGGAGTAGATAAGTGGCCTGTGACGTAACTCATGTTATTGATTGTTGCTAAAGGTTCCCGGACGGTCAGCTACAAGGTTCTCCAGCCCTTGTCAATCAAAATCATTATCCAATGCGGAACACGCTGCTCCTTGTCCTCGCAGTTCTGTCGTTTGTATTGGAGTTCAATTTCGACAACATGCGGCTGATCATTAACCTCTACGTACTGCAGCTGTGTTGCATATGCTCCATTCGCCCTGACTGACTGGTGGTTCCTCTTTAAAAATCTGCTGAGCCAAGCGGGGCAAACGCAGCGCCGCCGGACTGTCCGCCCTCGCGACGGGGAACGCCATCTTTCTGCCGACATTCAA